CCTCAGACTGAGGAAGTCTCTCGGATGAGAGACGAAACGTTTCTACATTTTTTGTTGATTTGCTTTGTTTTGTTTTTTTGAATGTCCAGAGGACCAGATTTAACTTTTTTAGATTTTTCTACCTGGATTATTGAGCATGCATCAGGATATTTTGAACTTGATTGAAAATGTTTGTGCAGATTAAATTTACAGCTCTCACTTTGTGTTGTTGTGATAATGATGGTGGTGCTCCTGCTGACTTGAGATGATGTAAGTAATAAACAGTATAAATGGCAGTAAAAGTACTTTATTAAAGCTTGTTTTACATTTTACATATTTTATAATAAATTGTGTGGAAATTTATTTTTGCACAGTTAACACTTATTTTGTCGTCTGTTATGATTTAACTAGAAACAGTTTCATTTAAATAAAAATTTTAATCAATGATTTACAATTTTACAATAGTTGTCAGGCTACAAGCACAATCAACTCAGTTATCCAGGTACTTGGTTGCCATAAAAAAAAGACAAATACAATTATATTCAGGTCTCTCTTGTAAATGAGTCCTCGTGGCTCAGTGGGACGAACCTGTTTGAATAAAGGTTGAATTAATATCTTCTATAGAAATCAAGAATTCATCCAGATGATCTAAGGTAAGCTGGAGCAGATCTGAACTACTGGCATAGAGGACAAGGTGGAGCATTATCATACAGAGAACATCAGAAATAACTTTATAACAGGTGTTACTCTGATCTTTTTTTTTTTAAGTGTGTAACGTTATAAAACACTGGCATGGCTATATTGATCTTTGTATTGCATATACATTTTTTTTTCTAACAAATATGTGTTTGCAGTGTCGTTTCCTTCTAAAATTTAATGATAAATGTATCAGCTGCTTCTAAAAATGCTTTGATAAAATGCATAGTCTGTGAAATAATCAGTAATCAGTTCGTTACTGCTCAATAATTACTGAAAGACATCAGGTAAAATAAGAAAAGTCGATTTTTGTGTTATATTGCGCCAGCAGCCACTCAAACTAACTGACAGCGATGAACTGTTTGGAACTATTGAGCGCTGCATGAACCACATGACCGCATATTGGCGAGTTCAAAGAGTGTCGCAACTCTCTCTTTATAGGACTCTGGGACAGACCAACCGGCCGGTGTTCTGTCGGTTAGTGATAATTTGTCAGATTGTCATACGCGTAGCACAAACTGATAGCTGTATCTGTCGGTCACTGATACATCGTCAGATTGTCATACGTAACACAAACTGACAGCTATTACCGGTTTAGCATAGGTTGTCAGATCGTCATATCAGCGTCATGTTTGACACCATGTCAAACACTGTCACGGACAGTTACGATTTTGTACTTATTATTTATCAATTACTTTGTAATTATCAGTTACCTAGTTAATTTATTGGTTATTTATAGTTATTTAACAGTTACTTTGTTATTACTATTTGTTATTATTAATATATAATTATTATAATTAGTAAAGGTTCTAGAATTGCGCCGCTCAAGGTGGTTGCATGTTCAATTCAATTCAATTCAAATTCAAAAATACTTAATTAATCCCAGAGGGAAATTATTTGTTGTAGTAACTTGTTATCCTCATTTCATTAAGAGATGTTATTGATACTGATGGCTGTAGGCAGGAAGGATCTCTTGTAAAGGTCCATCCCACAGTGGATCCTAAGAAACTGGCTGCAGATGCCGTCCGATCCGTCCACCCAGACTCGGCCAGCCTCCTGGCCCCAAAGGGCTGCAGGACCGCCCCAACGCTGGGCAGAACTCCTCCCAGAGCCATGGCCACCCCTCACAGCAGTCCGCCGAGCCCCCCCGTCGCTGCGGACAGCCAACTGTAGGTGCTGAGGGACGACTCCGTCATGAGCCGCGCCTCCTGCCATCCCCAGGATCCCAGCGGCCAGGCACCCGAGCACAGCCGGCAGGTAGATGAGAATGCGTCCACAGAGCATCCTTTTCAACTCATTTGAGATTTGGGGCTGTAGTTGAGATATTATTTGAGCTTTTGAGATGTTAATCAGCTGCTGTTGGTTGTAGAAAACTGCCTTGTTGCCATGGTTACGCATCATAACAAATGTCCAAAACTAAAAAAGTTTCAGTAAAAATCCTTCCAGCTGCTCAGCATCAGATACCAGAGGAAATATTAATCCACAAAATATGATTTACATCCAGAAAAAGAGGAATTAAAGTTTCCAAAAGCAAAATCTCAAAATGAAATTAACAGAGCTGCTCCAACATGCAGCCACCTTGAGCGGCTCAATTCTAGAACACTGGAGCAGATTGCACATTGGAGCAGCTCTGTCACATTCATTCTGAGATTTTGCTTTTGGGAACTTAAATTCCTCTTTTTCTGGATGTAAATCCCATTTTTGGATGATCGTTTCCTCTGGTATCAGATGCTGTGCAGCTGGAAGGATTTTTACTGAAACTTTTAGTTTTGGACATTTGTTATAATGCGTAACCATGGCAACAAGGCAGTTTTCGACATCCAACAGCAGCTGATTAACATCTCAAAAGCTCAAATAATATCTCAGCTACAGACCCAAATATCAAATGAGTTGAAAAGGATGTTCTGTGGATGCATTCTCATCTACCTGCCAGCTGTGCTCGAGTGCCTGACCACTGAGATCCTGGAACTAGCAGGAAACACGGCTCATGACAGCAGAAGGACAGGATCGTCCCTCTGCACCTACAGTTGGCTGTCTGCAGGACGAGGAGCTCGGCAGACTGCTGGGAGGAGTGGTCATCGCTCTGGGAGGAGTTCTGCTGGCATTCAGGCGGTCCTACGGCCCGGGGGAACCGAGAGGTTAGCCGAGTCTGGGTGCACGGATTGGATGGCTTCTGCAGCCAGTTTCTTAGGATCCACTGTGGGATGGACCTTTACAAGAAACCCTTCCTGTTTACAACCATCAGTATCTATAACATCTCTTTATGAAATGAGGATAATGAGTTACAGCAACAAATAATTTCCCTTTGGGATTAATAAAGTGTTTTTGAATTGAATTGAATATGTTATTATTAATATTATTAATATATTATTATTACTCATATTATTTACATGTAAATGTACATTTGTATATCTATGTACATGTAAAGACATAATATAAAAATTATAACATATACAAGATTTTATATATATATATATATATATGGGCAGCACGGTGGCGCAATTGGTAGAGCTGCTGCCTCTCAGCGAGCAGGTCCTTGGTTCAAACCCCAGTCCAGGGGCCTTTCTGGGTGGAGTTTGCATGTTCTCTCCGAGCATGCGTGGGTTTTCTCCGGGTGCTCCGGTTTCCTCCCACAGACCAAAAACATGCATGTTAGGCTGATCGACAACTCTAAATTGTCCCTAGGTGTGAGTGAGAGAGTGAATGGTTGTTTGTCTCGTTTGTCTCAATGTGGCCCTGTGATGGACTTGCGACCCGCCCAGGGTGTACCCTGCCCATCGCACAGTGATTGCTGGACATGGGCACCAGCGACCCCCGTGACTCAAAATGGAATAAGCGGGTAAAGATAATGGATGGATGGATATACATATATGTATGTATATATATGTATGTATATATGTCTCTTCGCATTGTCTCTTCGCACGGTCGCAATGGGAGCCTTACAGTCTTTATTATTTACATTCAGGTTCAAACAATTTACATTATCTTTATCTTATTTACATTATAATCCCCCTAAAAATAAATGGAAACATTACATTACAAAATAATACAGTACAAACAATAAATTTCAAGTATAACAGTGCTATCTGCTGGACAGTCTGGAACAATAACATTATTATAATATATATGTTTAGTGTATTATTTATTTATATGTATAGTATATTATATATATTACAAAGTCAAAGGTCAAAATGTCTTTATTTCTCGTTTAACAAAACTGTTTAATTGTGTACATCCAACAAAAGCAAAAATTCTAAAGAAAAACAGTAATAGGATCTAATATATGAACTAAGAAATATGCTAAACTAAGAATACACTAAGCACTAAGCAGTGCAAAAACAAAATGCCAAACAGAGAAAATTAGTTTGCAGTTGAGTGTGAGTGTGAATGTTGCTGATCAATTTGGATTTATTATTATTTATTCATTATATTTATTTTATTTTTCAGTACCAAATGGTTAAAAAATGTTTGCAGTTTAAATAAGAACAGAAGTTTCAAGTTAAAAAAACAAGACAAAAAAACAATGTTAATAAAATTACTTGTTATAAGTTGATCAATATTTCTTTCTTTTTTCTTACAATGTACAATGTTTCCAATGTTTTGCAGAGGTGTACTTATAACAATTTCATAGAAAAATGATACTATTTACAGAGGTGTACTTATACTATTTACAGTCGCAGTGGAGATTCTGGAGCGGGGGGCACGAATAACTGCAGCACTGTTTTAATTTAACAGACACTTCTTACGTTTGAATAGATCAACAAATTGTGTGGCACATTCTTTAATGAAGTATAAAAATATATAAAAAAGTATATCTATAAAATGAAGGTCCTGACATTGACATTTGTAGTAAAGTCACAAAGCAGCATATAAAGTGAATGTG